TAACCATAATAACTGGCACCTGACGGTATCTATATCTGGTGGTGATGCAAAGGCCTAAACCTGCCTGTATTTATTTTTGTGATAGGTTTTGTTTTGTTTTTAACTCTAAATGTGAAGTTCCCTGAGTGTGTTAGTCAAGTTAATCAAGTAATTCAAGTGCATTCACAGCCTCTGCTTCTCAATGAAAGTTTTCTTATCCAAGCTAATAAATCAATGTGTTGATTGGTTTCAGATGCTACATTCAGATTATTTTGTGTAAGAATCCAGCTAGTCAGTAAACTTTTATGTCCTGATCTTTGTCCCGGATATTATTGTGCTTCATAAAGTGGCTCAGATTCTGTTATCCATTACACTCATACAAATTTAGAGTGATTAAATGGATTTCAATATTCTTGCAAAGTCATAGTTAAAGAGGAAGTGAATTCTTTAAATTGATGAGACTTAAAGGGTTTACCAGTGGTGTGAATGACGTCTCCCCTTTCTTTCTGTAGTTGTCTAATACAGTGGTCTCCAAACTTTTTGATCGCGCACCCCGTCAGTAAAAAATTTTTGAGCACGCACCCCCAATATATTATATACATGTACAACTGTACTACTGTACTAATATACTGTGTAAATTATAAAACATACACAAAAAATAGAAATTAAAAAATGATGAGATAAAGATGAAATAAACAATATTTTTAAAATGGTAATGTGATCGAATATGCTTTATTATTTTTTAAAATCTTGGTTTAACACTTTGTGATACAGCCTGTGCTCAGGGTGGGGTGCAGGGTCTCGGAGGGAGTTAGGGTGTGGGAGGGTGCTCAGGGTGGGGGTGCGGGAGAAGGCTCAGGGCTGGGGCAGGCAGGAGGTGCAGAGCACTTACCTGGGGCAGCTCCCGTTTGGTGCAGGGGGTGTGCAGGTGGTTCTGCACAGTGCAGCACCACCCCCATGGCCCCGATTCTGGGAGCCGCGATTCTGGGAGCTACCCCCCCCCCCGGCAGGCAGGGCCACCCGGAACGCAGGGGCTTTAGGGGCTTCAGGGCCCTGGCCTACAGCTCTAAAGCCCTTTTCGGAATGCGGCCCTGCGAGCACGGGCCGGAGGATTCAGGAGGAGCAGGGGCAGCCAGTGGCCGGAGGGAAGCGGCGCTTTCCCCTTCAAAGCGCCGCTTCTCTCTGGCCGGCTTTGAAGGGGAAAGTGCCGCTTCTTTCCGGCCACTGGCTGCGCGGCTGCCCCTGCTCCTCCATGGGCCGGAGGACTCAGGGCCGCCTCTCTCTCTCTCTTTTTTCTTTTTTTTAAACTGGCGGTGCTCCTCCTGCCGGGCTGCCCTTTTGCTCCGGTGGAGCTCCTCCTGCTACGCCCCCCAGTCGATCGTCTTGTGCACCCCCTGGGTTGCGTGCACCCCACTTTGGAGTCCACTAGTCTAATACACAAGCATTTTAAAATGTTGTGTTTTAAATTAGCTCACAGATTTTCGGTGATTCACAGAAATATCCTAAAAAGGATGTTTATGTGGCCAGTGATCAGATATGCCAAACCCGTGAAAAAAATGCAGAACTTGGGCTTGTTTTTGGCTTAATTGGCTTGTGGGTTGTTTGTTGGCTAGTTTGTGGCTTGTAGCTTGTTTTGCTTGTAGCTTGTGTAGTTTGCTTCTTTTTTTTTGATCGGCTCCCGGCAAGCAGGGGCAAGGGATGGCCAGCTGGGGAAGAGGGGCACAGTGGGCCCATCACTGTGCCAGACTCCATGCTTGGGGGGATCTAGTCACATAGAGTGTTGGGGTTCTTAGGGGTTGTCTTGTTTTGGGCTTGTTTTGAAATGGGATTAGCTTGATTTTTGGCTTACTGTGAAAGTCGGGGTGCTTACTTACCACGTGAAAGTTGGCAACTGTGCCACTGAAGAGGCCAATTTAAAAATTAGGTAATATGTGCCCGGACTTGCCATATGGGTGTAGAGCTATTCTTTTTCACAAGCTACAAGATACATTAATGAAAAATTCTCTGAAGTTATCTAATGTGGAATTAATGCTCTGCACTATCCGCTGTTTGAGACTCAGTACAAGTAACATTAGCAGCCTTGCAAAAATAGATGCACATGGATGTGAAACTAAATTATTTTCTCAACTAAGCAGAGCATAAAGCAGAACTGCCACAGACAAGTCCAAAATTAGCTTCAACTTCTGGTGTGACTGTTTATGTAGAAGCAGATTCAGCTGATTTTCACTGTGTTTCTGTTATTACTGGAGTTGAAGATCTGGCCATTGCCACAGGACTATGATTCATCACTTAAAAAAAATACCCACATTTTGCTAAGCTAGAGATTGAGGTTGTAGTACAGGGGTGGGCAAACTTTTTAGCCCGAGGGCCATATCTGGGTGGGGAAATTGCATGCAGGGCCATGAATGTAGGGCTGGGTTAGAGGGTTGGGGTGTGGGAGGGACTGCGGGGCATGGGAGGGGGTGTGGTGTGCAGGAAGGGGCTTGGGGCAAAGGGCTGGAGTGCAGGAGGGGGCTCAGGGCAGGGGGTTGGGGGTGCAGAGGGTGCCACAGGGGGCTCAAGGCAGGGAGTTGGGGTGCAGGAAGGGGTGAGGGGTGCAGGAGGGGCTTGGGGTATGGCAGTGGGCTCAGGGCAGTGGGTTGGGCTGGGGGGTGCGAACTCTGGCCCAGCACGGCTTACCTTGAGCAGCTCCAGGGTGGCAGCAGAGCGTAATGGGGCTAAGGCAGACTCCCAGGCTGCCCTGGCCCTGTGCTGCTCCCAGAAGTGGCCGGCACCACATCCCTGTGGCCTCTGGGGAAGTGGCGGGGGACAAAGGGCTCTGCGTGCTGTCCTCGCCTTCAGGTACCTCCCCGCAACGCTCCCATTGGCAACGTTCCCTGCAGGGGGAGCTGCGGGGGGCAGTGCCTGCAAGCGAGGGCAGCACGCGGAGCCCTCTGCTCCCCTCCTCCCCCAGAGGCTGCAGGGACGTGGTGCTGGCTGCTTCTGGGAGCGGCACGGGGCCAGGGTAGGCAGGGCGCCTGCCTTACTCTTGCTGCTCTACAGGGCTGGCAATCCCGCAGGCCGGATCCAAAGCCCTGATGGGCTGGATCCAGTCTGCAGGTCCTAGTTTGCCCACCGCTGTTGTAGTATATTTAAAAAAATCAACCCCCCCCCATATTAAAACCTGATTAATGCTTGTAGCTGAAGTGGGTCCTCTATAAGGTGAATATAAGATAGATCATATGAATGAGTATTAGGTCCACTAAAATCATCACCTACCTACCAGATAGAGTTTTAAATGTGATTAACTATTGGTTGAGGCTAAAACTTCAAAAAGTAGATCCTAGTAAGCAACACAAGACATAGGACAAGAGCTAGCATACTACTAGCATTTTTGGACACTGACAGAGTGATCCAGCACCAATGAACAGCTTTACAGTAATGTAAGGGAGAGTAATGAAAGGATAACTCAAAATGCATGTTCCTTAGAACTATGAGAGATTTGTACAGGCCAAGAGGGGCCATTATAAAAGCTCAGCAACTCAGTATATATTTAGTACTCAGTTGTGTGTTTGTACTGGTGGTGGGACAGGAGTTTCTCTACCTCTGAGAAACTGATTTCAACAGACAGTATTGATATGAATGCTCAGAGCTGAGGAGTTCTTATTGACATGGAGCCAAATTCATCACTGGCTTACACCCATTGCAATCCATTAAAGGCTTTTCATTTTGACAGCCCCTTCCATTATTAAAAGTTTATTACAGTTCCTTATTTTGTAAAGTGTACTTTTAGGGACTAATTCACCACTTCACTCTTCCAGTTTTTGCCATTGTAATGCCACTGAAATCAACAGAATTACTCCAGTATGAGGCTGAAGTAAGGCAGTGGTGAATCAGCCTCTTTCTATATTTTTCTGTCAAAACACGATGACTGTAAATCATATTAAACTGTGATTCTATCCTCCCTCAACCAATACAAGAAGAGAGGGAAAACTAGGGGATTTTCAACATACTAAATTTAAAATCTCTCCAAAACTGGTAAGTTGTTGGAAAGAGGTCAAGGAAGATTTAGGAAGTGGTTACTGATGTCAGTGTGCACTAACTCCCTGGCACCAGAACTCAAGATATCAGTATACAAACTAATCGGGACTTTGGCCTGGATCATTCATTTCTATGGACAAATTCCCAGTGGGAAAGAGCTACTTACAAGAGATTCATTGGCTTCAGTGGACTTGCTCACATGCTTAAAGTTCTGTCTAAGGTACTTATAGGGCTCCCATTTCCATAGTATGTGAGCACTTCACAATCTTTAATGCAGTTACATTCACATACCCCCGTGATGTAGGGTACTGTCTCTTTTCACAGTTGGGGAACTGAAGCACAGAGAGCCTAAGGTCCAGATCCTCAAAGATATTTAGGCTCCTAACTTCCACTGATTGAGGATCCGGGCCTAAGTGAATTGCCCAAGGACACAGAGCAATCTGTGGTGGAGCCCAGGTATCCTGAGTCCCAGGTCCAGTGCCCTAACTGGACCATCCTTCCTTCATAGTTAGTCATGTGAAGAAGTACCTTGCTCAATCAAGGCTCCAAACTCTCAGTGGATCCTTTTCTACATCATCCCTTCAGTTAGGTGTGGATGGTGACTTTGTGGAAGGGGAAGAGAAAGAGATGTAACATACCCTGTGAGAAATTCATAACCAACTCCCAGATTCCCAATCAGATGTTTGAGTTTACAAGGGCCGTGCTGTAATTTTTTTCCTACTGTTTTGTGTTTTGTTTTTTTAAACCCACCAAGGACTGAGTTCAGCACCAATTCGTATATAGAGGAAATCAAATTAGAGTTGCTTTTTTTCCTCGTGAAATGGTAAAAACGACTTTTCTTGAGAAAAAGAATGATGGCTCATTTTCTCCATCCATTCACAGCAGTGCCATTCTGAACTTAAGTCCTCAAGAAAAGTCTTGACTTACAATCTGTTTGAGAAAGAACTGATGTCTTGAGATGCTATGGCTCTATAACAGCAATCTTTTGACTGATTACTTACATTGTATGACCTGCAGTGTGTTTGCTTCCATTGAACGAGTACAATCTGTGCCACTTCCAAGGCTGCAATGAGAATAAGAATCATCTCCATATGCATAGATTCGTGGCCATGGTGCTTTGCATGCATCTTCTGATGATGAAGTCTTAAAAGAAAATGCATAGAATTAAAATGTGCACACTAGATCCATACTTTTTTGACAATGAGAAGCTGGGAGGAGGAGAGCTGGAAATGCCGAGACAGACCTGCAGAAGATAGTGAGCTAGCAAATTAGGTGTGTGTTCGCAATGCAATATGCCACTGCAGTTTTGGTCACTACATATGAAACTATCAAATCACAGAGCTGGAAGGGAATTACACCATGTGTATAACTGTAGTGCAGCTCTATCTGGAATACAGGTTTCTATCTGGATGCCTCAATAACAGAAAAATATTGGCAAATTGAAAGGCGTTCAGAGTAAAGGAACACAGATTATTAGCAAAAAGAACAGGAGTACTTGCGGCACCTTAGAGACTAACAAATTTATCTGAGCATAAGCTTCCGTGAGCTACAGCTCACTTCATCGGATGCATGCAGATTATTAGGGAGTTGGACTGACTTTAAGTACGAGCCAAAAGCTGTTCAGTTTACCTATGCTAATGGCTAATGGCGGTGAGGGGAGAGGAGGAAATGTCATAACAATCAACTTGTCCCTTATGCGCATCAGAGAGGGAGAGGAATGGTACCTGGGGGCATAGTGGGATAAAATTAAAAAATAGAAAACTTAGCATGATTACCAGGAAAAACTTCAGGACACTAATATCAATTAAATTCTTCCTAGGTAAATGGTAGAAGCCCCAGTGCTTGGGTTGTTTACAACTAGACTGACTAAAACAAGAGAGAAACCATCCTGCACTGACATAGATGCTCTAATAGGTCCTTCTCCTCTCTAATTTCTGTTGACCCCATTCTAAAGACAGAGAGGTCACAACTGAAGCCACAAAGACAAATTCTCTTTCAATTTTTGATGTGTTTGCAAGAGGGTAAAATTCCAGTCGTCACATCTGAACTTACCCTGGCATTTTGGTTCCAGGTCAGATACAAAACTGGAAGGAGCCTTAAATTTTCTGCTTGTAAACATTTGTGAAGCTAGAAAGTGCTATATAACAAATGCTAAAGGCTGAATCACAGAGCCTGGGAGGCAGAAAGGACCTATTTTCTGTTTTGGATCCCAAACCAGTCACTCTCATGATTAAAGCCCAAAGGTGGAAGTCTTGACAAATAAAAAATGATCCTACCATAAATTTGGGACCAATATTTTGTGAAATTTTGGGGATGTCAAGACTGAACCTGAACTCTAGCCCTGCTCTGATCTCCAGCTTGAACCCCAGTGTTAGCCTCATCTGGATCCCGATATGAACCCTGAATTGGATGGAAATCTACTCTTCACTGCTAGTACTTCTCTGTAATGTGTCAGACCAAAGCCCTGGACTCAACAAATGTTGAATGTTGAGGAAGTTTGGATCTAGATCTTAATGTTGTGGCTCTGCTTCTCAGAAAAGAGATGCTAGCTGCCTCTTTCCTAGCTTAAAACAGAAGTAGTGGTTGGAAGGGAAAGGATCAGGATGTACCACTTCTCCCCTACTACTTGTCATACTGACTCTTCCGTTCAAAAAGCAATGACTATTTGGCCTGTGCCAGGATCACAGGTGAGTGCTGTATGGCTACCCATCTTAGGCACTTCTTCCTTCTCAGAAATGCAGCTTTATCAATGTGTCCCTGTTAAGCTTATTCTACACAATACCCCCAAATGCACATTTGAAATATATTCCTTAATAACATTGTTTTCCACAAAGTTAAAAGGCTATCTAATTATATATATATATATATATATATATATATATATATATATATATATAAACCTACCTGAGAGATTTTTCTGGCAATCTCCAAAATCAAAACACCCTTCTAGACTTCAATATAGAATGCAGTATATCACTTTAACAAAGATTATATGAGAGCTATAGAAGAGATATAAGAAGTACTTGTCAAACAGCATTGAAGAGTTTAGCTGAATGACTCATAGTTAGACCACACTTTGAATTGCAGATGGGGAGAATGTTTCTGACACACATGAAATGTGTTTGTTCTGGCATAATAAAATAATTACTTCTGCTATTTTATTGACACCACACTCACTATAAATATTTTAAAGTGGCCAGTGAATGTGATGCACTTCGCATCTTCCTCCCAGAAATAAAGTGCACTGCTCATGGAGTGCCGCCTGCTGGATAATTTACATGATATACTGACAGAGAAAGATGCTCATTCTGTTTCACGTGGAGCATGCTGGAATGATGGCCTTCTGAAAATAGCTGGAGTAGGGATGCATACAGCTTATATATGAGGGTAAATTAAAATCTACTGTGATGGAGGGAAAAAGGTGAAATGGTCACGTAACATTATCCCACTCTCTGTATCTTAGCCCTGCTGGGTCTGTTTTTTTTAATTGGTTAAAAAAAATATAAATAGACATTTCTTTATATTTTATTTGACTTGTGGAAAGAGATAGGAAGCACTAAATTTATTATATAGATCATCTTTGACTTATCAAGTAGAATACTATACTGCTATAGTGCACTTTAATTAGTAATAGAGATACTAATTATTTTGTTTTGCTGTTGAGCTGATTTAATGTGTAGAATAAAAAGTTCTTGAGCAGTATTTTCTAACTTTTCTGCCATGCATAAATGTTAGAGGAAATGTAAGTGATCTTTATGCTTAATATAGAAAATTAAGGAAAAAAAGACTAGACTTTCTAAATCTAAAAACAAATATTTGGGATAACAGCTCTGCCAATTTCTAGAACTGCTATAATGAAAACTAATGTATAAAATCTGCTGCTAATATGCAAACTTACTTACTTCCATTGGTCCCCTGTTGATCATCTTAACGCATCACCCTGAAACAGACATAAAACTAATATTATAGCTAGACAATGCACAATAGTCAAGAAGTTTCCTTCGCAAAGTCTCCTTCCCCCTGTATCAATGGTAAGACATATTTAACTCAGATACACATGCCACAGTTTCCCTCAAGTAAACTATGGACTCCATCTCATTCCCCCAGAAATAGGTGGGGAATTCTGCCAGTAATTTCAGTGTGAGCAGGATCAAGGTCCCAAAACTGAATGAAAGACCGAGTAGCAAAATTTATATCTGTTGGAATTTTTGTTATGCTTCTTCTAGGATGGTACATTAAGATGCTGAATTTATCATAAAATATAATGTCCTCTAACTTTCTCCTTAAATCCTTGGGGATAAAATATAGCAATTGCATAAAAAATTATCAGGTTGAGTTTAAAGCTAAGTATACTCTAGACCAGAGGTGGGCAACTATGGCCTGCTGGCCACATCTGGCCTGCGGGACCATCCTGCCTGGCACGTGAGCTTCCAGCTGGGGAGGCTAGCCCCCGGCCCCTCCCCCACTGTCCTCCCTCTCCCGCAGCTACACCGACGCACGGGCAGCGCTCGCCCACCTCCCAGGCTTTCCAATAAGCCAGTCCTGCTGCTCTGAGTGGCATGGTGAGGGGGTGGGTGTTAATAAGGGGCAGGAGGTCCCAGGGGCCAGTCAGGGGACAGGGGGTGGTTGGATGGGGCAGAGGTTTGGGGCGAGCGGTCAGGGGACGGGGAGCAGGGGGTGGTTGGATACATGTGGGAGTCAGGGGGCAGGGGTGTGGATAGGGGTCAGGGGACAGGGAGCTGGGGTGGGATGGGAGAGGGGGTCCCGGCAGGGGACGGTCAGGGAACAAGGAGCAGAGCGGGTTGGATGGAGCGGGGGTTCTGAGGGGGGCAGTCAGGGAGCGGAAAGTGGGATGGGGCAGATAGGGGCGGGGGCCGGGTTGTTTGAGAGGCACAGTCTTCCCTACCCGGCCCTCCATACAGTTTCACAACCCTGATGTGGCCCTTGGGCCAAAAAGTTTGCCCACCCCTGCTCTAGACTTACAAATATAAAGCCTAATTCTGCAGTTGCTGCTGGTATGATTTGTCCTATTGAAGTCCCATAAAGCCATAGCATTGCTCACATAAGTAAGGGATGAAGGATCAAGTCCAGAGAATGAAGTGTCTAGATATTACATATTAGAACTGGTTAAAATATTTAATTCAAAACTGTTTAAAATTTAAAGTAGGTTAGTTTTGAAGATGAAATTTGTACATGAGAATTTATTTTTCTTCAAAATATTCTGAATTTTAAAATTTGAAACAAATGAAAAACTGCAATATTTCTTCTTCTTTTTTTTTTTTAAATCAAAACTGCCCAAATGCATCCCCCTTTTTCAGTGGCAAGTGAAAAAAGGGGGATATAGAGAAGGAAAAGAGAAATACTAAAAATGGGTTTCTATTTTTCTGGTTTGCCATTAAAACCCACAATTTTAAAACATTTTTGCAAACAAATTCCAGAAAATTATTTTTTGAATATGTTCACAAAACGTTCTTGCCATTTCCCAACCATTTATATATATTTAAAATCCTGTTAATACATTTGGACCAAATCCTGAGAACATATTGACTACAGTGGGACTACTCATGTGCATAAGTCATACATTCATTTTATTTATTTAGAGGTATTTCTGAGGTGCTGTTTGCTATAGGAATCCTAACACTAGGACTTAAAGCAAAATGCCAGCACAAGGGAGCATCTAGGGCTAGATTGTGACTTTTTAATCTGCCCTGAATAAAGGGGTGGCATATAGCAGCACCAACCCACAGGAGGAATTGCAACTCTCAGTCCCCTTGGACATCTAATTGCCATGGAGCCAAAGCTCTTCCCACTCTCTGCCCCATTCCATCCCCTGACCACCACTTGTTTGCAGGAGGGAGTATCAAGCAAGTAGCTCCTGCTCTCTTCTCTGTGGCTGGAGCTACAGTGGAGTAAGGGGAGGCGTGGGAAGGGAAGTACTTAGGGTGACCAGATTGCAAGAGTAAAATATTGTGAAAGTTGGTGGCGGGGAACAGCCACAGGCTCACAGCCCCCACCTGAATCATGGGGGGGAGGTGCATAGCCCTAGGAAGCTGCAAGGGGGGCGCACAGCCCGGCTCTAGCCCCCTCTACAAGCCATGGGGACACACGGCCCAGCTCCAGCCACAGCTGCAAGCCGCAGGTCG